AGGTGGCTGTGCACTTATAACTTCACTCACCCGAAATGTAACCATGTCATGTCTATACAGTAGCTTTAAGATAACCTTGCTTTGGGACACTGCTTTATAAACACCAACTTGAATAAAATAATTAGGATCTACAGTGCGCTGTGTCGTACCAGAACACTGTGGAAGCTGGCCAGATTGATGAGCTCACACACAGCCTTGATGCGCTCGATCAGTGCCCGAAAGTATTCCACCATGTCGTCCCGGCGGATGATCTTGGCGTAGCGTGGAAAGGTTGGGGGAAGCAGTCGCTGGTTGACGAGTGGCTCAAACCCCATCATCACAGGCTGGTCTGCTCCCAACATGAATATGCGGGGAGAGACATTTACATTCCAATGCAAACAAAAAAATGTAAAAAAAATTATTCCTTGGTGGAAATAAAACAACATCAATGCACTTTCCAGCGATAGATACAGAAGTCTACGTTGGATGTTCGATGTACACTACCGCAGCTGCTCACCACCCTTGCTGGAGTCTGTCTGGGCCTGGATGCCATAGGGGAGTGAAGCAAGGATGCAGGGCAAGAGGTCACCCGCTTGCACCATCAGCTTCTGAGCCTCCTGCACCGCGCTCATCTGCCAGGAAAACAAGGCCATTTCGCTCATTCGTAACCAAATACATGTTAACAAACCCAAACCATGATCGGCTGGAATGTTGCTCACAATGACTTTTAAAGCATTGCCACAAACTAATAAACATGTATTTCATTCATGTTTGCAGTTACCTGACATAAACAGATAATAAATATTGCTATAAGCTCTCACCTCTTTCTTAGTAAACGCTATAAGAGCCGTGAGAAGCAATCGTGTGAACTTCAGCCGGGTGAACACCGCCACAAATTGTTGATGCTGAAAATGACAACAGTAACATTCGGTAAAATACATAACACACAAACCAAGAACCACTGTACCAAACTGCATCGCTAACACCTACAAGGCGAGTTTCTCATGTCATTCGACACTCACCTCCAGCTCGACTTCTGGGTCTCTCTCCTCCCCCTGTCTGCTTCTTGTATTCTGAAAAACCAATGTTTGTCTCATGTTACTTCATTTATTAAAATGGTATATTACTAATACCAATAGTATTGCACTTTCACGAGATGAGAATGCATGAACAAAAATAATTTAAAAAAGCATGTTCAATTGTGTTGCCAATATGAGCAGATAAAATCACCTTCACTTTCTTCTGGAAGTCATCCTCGACATCTTTCAGCATTCCTGTAAGTGAGACACTTCTCAGCTCATGCATTTTGACATCATATACTGTTGTAATATGCAGCGATAAAATGTGTGTTAACAGCATTACCTGTTACTCTCAAGTCTGTCACATTGTTCGCCATTTTAAATCCATATGTCATTGAATGGAAATCCTCCTATAAAACAACCCAACAATATTCGCAGCTGTAAACATTCAATTACATTGGCATTTAAAACATCACATCTAGAATAATTTACTAAATTTGTTAAAGTATTGTTCCTACGATATATGCCGTGGTGATTATTCAAAGTCAAGTGGTTTCCTACTCTTATTTTATCCCAAGTCAGCGATGGAAATTCCACATTCCTACTGTAGGGTTCAGTTTATTTAAATAACAACCACTACGAACTTCTCAAAAAGTAGTTTTTTATTGACCCCAGTGGGATGTAGGGTTGAGTTGACCTACAATCAGAATTTGAATGAGACATCCCACTTTCAACAAAGGCTAGGCAGCCAAGGAATGGATCCGAAAAGATATCCCATCGAGGAGATGGAGCAATGAAATCAGCTCGTGTGCAAGTGCCAGATGGACTAACACATCATTGGTTTGTCAGAGATGGTGTAGGCTTGAGAAGGCCTTCATCCAGCAGTAAATTTACATGGCTGATGATGATGAATATTCTCACTGGGAGTTCTGTGCTCTAAGGACAGTGCCACTGGACCATGATTTGGTGAATACTACATGAGAATATTTCTCTGACTGAAGCTGTATGTAAAAAACAAACTGTCCCACTCACCTCTTCAAAGACAGAGGCTTTGTTGATCTTGTCTCTGGCGATGTCGCACACCTTCAGGATGCCCAAGGCAAAGGCTTTCATAGCAGGGTCCTCGATCAGCTCAGGGTTGTGCAGATACAGACACGTGAACACAGTCTGTGCCAGAGAGTGACCTTCCAGCCATGTGATCTGTTGGTTTGAACAGTGTGTTGCTTAATATATCAAACCGCAGAAGTATGTGTAATATTTGAACATCCTTGTCCACCTGCAGCATTGTAATTACAGTAAGGTGCAATTGCAATGCTCTCTGATAGAAAGTTATTCCTACTATGACAATGCAGACTTTATAAAGACTGCAACACTCATTCAAGTCTTAAAGTGACACACTGCAGTAGGTAAAAAACAGCATGAACATGTTTTTTTTATTGATGCACTCACCAAGCAGCAGAAGCACGTGTCAATTATTCCAATCAGTTCAGATAAAGTCAAGTCCTTGGTCTTAACAGCACCTTCCTATAAAACAAAAATATCCACAGGGGTAAGTAAGAAAATGTTAAATACCTTATGCAGGTATCTTGAACAAGCAGCCAAATGTTTGGGAACAATTTAAAAACATCCAGCTATTTTTGGAAAAATAACATATGGAATAAACACTTTTTCATTAAACACATCACCATTTGTTGACAGTGAATGGTAATGAAAATAACCTGTTAAAGTGACATGTTCTTACCTTAATGGCCTGCTCAAAGTTGAGAACTTGCCGATTCACTTGGTTGCCAATCATACCCGCATCCATCTTCGGGTCCATCATTTCGATGGCTGACATGGCTTCAAATAGGCCAAAACTAAATACTGTCAGATACACAAATAAAGATTCAATAAACTTGTTTTGACTTCAGGTATGTTTCAAAGAATGTCATGACATATACAATAAAAATATATTTTAAATATGTATTTCTAAATTTGGCTTAAATATATTGTCAGAATTAATATTCTTAAAAAGTCAAACCAATTAAAATAGATTACAAGGCAATTTGCAATCACAAGTTAAAACATATCTTATTATCTGCATGTATGTAATTGTATAGTGAATAAAATAGGTTATTTGCGATGTATGAACTTTTTCTAAGAACACTGCATTTTGGTCAATAGAACAAAAAATATTTTTTATTGAATGGAGACCCCAAATTGTGACAATTTAATTTTGGAGGGGGTGTACTGCAGAACGTTAATTTCCTTACCCCTTGTCATGAATTAATTCTCCCAGCTTGAGCTCTGCAAAAAGACAAAAACATTTTAATAACTGCCCTAGGCAAACAGTCTGATGTGTTTTTGAATAGTGCCTTAGTATTACGAGGCACGGGCCTGTTTTAGTGTGGCAGCATTACCTTTGCAGGAGTCTGTAAAGTCTGTTGAGATCTCCATCCACTCTGTTGGGCCTTTCTCTGGCTTCTCACTCAGACCCATGCCCCAGTTCACCTCCTCCTCTTCTGTTGCTTGGCAAACTACCATCGTGCCCTCCTGTGTTAAACACGCAATGGTTACTGCTATACACTCATTTTGACCCACAAAGATGAAGGTACCTCCACAGTAATCTTGGGGCTCAAGATTAATGCCTGAATTTCAGAGCCAGAAGTATGCTTGTATGGAATGTTAATTCCCAAGGTTCAGTCAGAAGAAGTGACATTTAAGATGCTTGGTGGTTATTGTTAAGTTGTGTACAGTATTAGTGGTTCTGGCTCCCAGTACGATTATACACCTTTCTGATCTTTGGGTTCCAAAGGCTGTCAGACGATGACAGCTTGTGGAATACATTATAAGATACAACTGGAAAAAATAGGTGAAATGCATCACTTTATTGTCATTTATAAGATCTAGACTTAAGTCACATTTCTGATTTTCAGAGTTCAATGCGTTTACCTGAAGTTCAGCCGAAGGAAACGTCGGGATTCTTCGGGTTAAATGTTACGGTCAGAAGTTCACAGACCCTATGGCACCTTTAAGATTATTAGCGTCGAATTTTGATGGTACTCATAGAAACCAGACTAAGATACCGCGAAAGATTAAGGGACCTTTATGGTTTGTCGGGTTTCTAATGTCGGAGACAACTTTCTGATTCTTAGGTTTGAATGCTATAAGCGAGGCTCACAGGGCTATACCTAATAAATGAACTTGAAGAATCAGGCAAATACAATGCACACATTAATGCACCTTCAGAGCTTATTACAACACGTCAATTCTCAAACCTCATGTCGGCATACTTAATGCACAATGTTGTTTCACTGCAGGTGCCGAGCAAGGCAAAGACGCTGTCTGGGTAAAGGGGGGGCCACGGACACAGGCAGCGATGACTATTATACAACAACAACAGCAGCAGCAACAACAACAAGAACAACAACGACGACGACGACTCGCGATACCTTTCACAACAAAGCCCCCTTTAGACGCTGACCATTCATAGGCGGCGACAACCCCCAGACCGGGTTTGACGCCCGCCACGCGACGACGACTGGCAGAGCAGAGGCGGTCGCTACGCCAGACTTTGGTGGTGGTGGTGATAGTAGTGGTAGTAGTGGTGGTGATGGTGGTAGTGGTGGTGGTAGTGGTGGTGATGGTGGTAGTAGTGGTGATGACGGTAGTAGTGGTGGTGATGGTAGTGGTGGTGATGGTGGTAGTGGCGGTAGTGAAGGTGGTGGTGACTGTAGTGGTGGTGGTGATGACGACGGTGGTAGTAGTGGTGATGGTGGTGATGACGGTGGTGGTGATGATGGTGATGACGACGATGGCGCAACGCGATCAGCACGTGAAGACGCGCGCTGCCATCTTACTGAGGGCTTCACGACCGTCGTCGTGTTTTAACACGGGGAGGGCACAAAGCCGCTCAGTGACATTTGCCATACAAACATCGTCGTCGTCGTTGTTGTTGTTGTTGTTATTGAAGGGGGAGACGAGACGTCGCACCCCCTCTCGGTAAGGCGGCGGCGGCCACCACCGAATGTTTGTTCCGTTTTGCGAAATAAAATTATAAAAAAAAACGAAAACGCGATTTCGACTCGCGCCTGCCATCTTACTCGGGGCCAGGTCCGTCAACAACAGCGGACGACGTCGTCGTCGTCAGACACAAACATCTAAAAGCCAACAAACACAGACAGCAAACACAGCCAAGGCGTCGTCTTCGTCGTTGTAAAGTCGATTAGACGTTCCAAACCCACCCCCTCCACCCTCAGTAAGGTGGCGGCCCCACGTGCTACGTTTTGCGATGGGACTTTGTGGGATGAACGTTGAGATTTGAAGAGGTAATAAGGCGGGCAGTGATTAGCGTCGTGATTAAATGTATTTTATTTTATACACCTACGTGACTTTACCACCGAAAGAACCAAAGGGTATGGATCATTGCAGCCACGAAAACGTCAAATCTAGAATGATAAAGGGGTTGACAGGTATGTTTGACCCACAATTCGCAACACCAGCCGGAGTGATTTAATTGTTTTATTTTTATAAAAAAAAATATTTTAAAAAAATAGTATTTAAGTTTTTTAAATTTAATACATAAAAACATACAGCGGATGCGCGCGCAATTACATTCGCTAGAGCGCATAAGGCGACGCGCGAGGTGATTGGCGGAGCGCCCCTCGCCAGCTTGCTCGCGATTGGTCGATGGCTCGCCGGGCTCTTAGCCAATCGCAGCGAGGCTAAGCGCCGCTGTCCGCCAGTGTCACGTGGGCCGGCCTGACGCTCGCGAGTGGCGCGCACCGCAACAAGAAGCCGGCGATGGATCCTCGTCGTCGTTTGGTATTTATTATAACTGTGCACTTAAAAATCGCGCTCCTCCCACACCTAGACACCCCCCCACACATCATGCGACGATTTGATCTCTGCGAAACGATGGGCGGCAAACGCGCAGAGCTCGTGTGTGTGTCTTGTGGCTCGTGTGCGTGGTGTGATTTCACGTTGTTTCCATAGTAACTGCGTGTGGGCAGGTTTGGTTAAGCAAGCGTTGTGTTTTATTTTTAGATTTAAAGCTTTCGTGACTGCTGCAGGGATTAATATGATGATTGCTTGTGTTGCAATCGAAACGTCGTGAGGATTTTATAGTTTTATTTTTATTATTTCCCTTCTACGTGACTTTACCGAAAGAACCAAGATTATGAAGCGTTGTGTATTTATCAATCGGCTATTGTTGATTTTGCATATGACGATGTTTGTGTTCGCCTGGCTGCAAGGAGCGCGCAGTTGGTTCACGTAGTGCAGTATGAAACCGACGTGCTTGAAGTATGGGGCCGTCCATAAATGACGTCACGCACCTAGTGGGGGGGGGGGGGGTCAAACATTTGTAACGATGTGTGACGAGGGGGGGCGGGGTTTGTGAAATGTGACGTCACATCAAAATGCGCAACTTTAAATAAATATAGACAACACGTTCTATTAATTAAATAGACTTTTTAATAAATTTCGATTTAAAGCTTTCGTGATTGCAGAGATTCACCTTTTTGGTTCTTTCGGTAAAGTCACGTAGAATTTCAATAATAAAATAATAAAATTAAAACAATAAAATAAAAAGATTTCTCACGACGTTTCGGCCACAACGCAAGTAGCCGTCCTCAGGTGGAGAACAGGCTTGTCATTCAGACTCAGTCTCCTCGACAGACCTGTTCTCCACCTGAGGACGGCTACTTGCGTTGTGGCCGAAACGTCGAGAGAAGTATTTTTTATGTTTTATTTTTATTATTTTTAATAAATGTTTTCTCCTAAAACATCAGAGTGCAGCGCCACATTAAATACGCACTACAATGACAATAGTTTAAAGCGATTTGAAGCATGTTTTATTTTTAGTGGGGGGGGGGGGGGGCAGAGCTTTGTGACGTCACATTTGAGGGGGGGGGGGGGTCTGCTTCGCCACCATAAATGAACGTCTAGGTCCGTGGTCCTCATTGTTATTTGCCGGCAACATTTATTCAAGCAGGCACGGTCCTCGTGTGAACACTACAGATGTGGCCCTTGAAGCAACATTGGCCACAAGATGTGCACATGTATAATGCACACTGCCTTGCATTGTTACAAATATACAATGCATTGACAGAATCTGTATGGCCACGTCAAAATACACTCGAATTCTGTGTTTAGTGTAGGCTCATTACAGATAATGGGCCGCCTCGGCTGTTTACCCGCAGTCTTTATGCACACAGAGAGAGAGAGAAGCTGGACCAATGTGAACCTTTGAAGTCCCATTCCTGTATAGATACGTGGTCGCAACAATGTGTGGCCTCACCTAGTTGGGATATATCTTGCCTTATTGAACTATCTCCTGAAATGTAGGTTTTTGTGGCCAGTGCGATTAAACATTTGTTTTTGGGTTATGCTACGTGGTAATGTTATGACGGTGTTCTTGTCATTAACCCAACAAGGTTGTCACGCTCACAAAGATATTATTTATACAGGCTAGTGCAGGGGTCGGCAACCTACGGCTCCGGAGCCGCATGCGGCTCTTTACGGGCTGCTTCTTGACGATATGTACGTATGTACAGTATGTACTCAGATGCATTGCGGCTCTTGAAATACTGAATTTTGTACCGAATTGGAAAGAAATGGCTCTTCTTGTTATTGTAGTTGCCGACCCCTGGGCTAGTGTTTCGATCATATTATTACCGATAAGGCTAACCGGTGGTTTTCATGACAGAATTGAACATCAACATGCGATGTTTCACACGTACGCTTTCGCGATCAATATCCATACTACAGTGTCGAGGTTTTTGGTTTAGATCGCGTAAATATGTGTCGTTAAACCCGCCACCACCCGAAAGCCAATTCGTAAGGTTTGTCACGTCAACAAAACATGACAATTCGTTACTAGTACAGCACACCCGTGTGATGGGAGAGTAAACCTAGTTGTAATTACTGGCGAAACGTCGTACTCGAATTGTAAATGTGGGTTTACTCTCCAACACACCAGTGTACGGTACTAGTAACGAATTGGCTTGTTTTGTTACCGTGACAAACCTAACTAATTTGGCTATTGGGTGGTGACGGGTTTAACCACGTTTATATTTACGCGCTCTAACCCAAAACCATTATTATGGATACGATGTTTCGCTCAAATTGCCATCTTTGAGCGGCTAAACATCGAATGTCAACGTTAACCCAAAAACGGATGTGGCTTTGTGCTCACCTGGCATGCCGTATCTCCTGTGATGATTGATGTGGTATACATATTAATGAGCATATGTGAAATCTTGACCTTTGGAGTATTGTCCTGAGCCAATGGAGACATATAGATACAATTACTGGATTATCTAACGTACTATTTTAGTGACGGGTCATTTATTCAGCAAAGCGCCGCTGTGTCTGAGGCCTGCATTGGCAAGTTTGAAAGTGTTTTTGTGTCTGGGCAGCTACCCCAGTACATACAGTGCCCGGAGGAAACTACACAGGCTCAACATTGCTGATTAATGTTGCTGTGGCAGTGGTGCACAAGCACAAATAAAAAAACACACACTTAACACATTTGTCAATAACACTGCCTGAAAAGGAGAAATGTATAATATATAGTAGGCGACGTTTCCGGCAATAGCCCTTAATAGCACAGGATAAGATTATAAGCTGTTTTAAGTGGCACATAGACACTTAAACACATGGTGCCTTTGTTTTAACCCGATTTTAACTAAACATAAGAAATCAGTTTTTGCTTATGTTCAGAAAAGCTATCACGTTTATATAGGCTACACATTGATGTTCTGATTTTTTTGTGTTTTCTTATGTTACGTGTGTTAAGCCAGGGTTCTGTTCACTGTGAGTGCAACACCAATCTATAACGGGTTTTATGCTGTTTTATATACAACTATCCACTAGAGGGCAATGATAGCGTAGGCAGTGAAGCACATGGAGCAAAAATGAATGTTGGCAGTCGGCAGAATAGCTTTTGTGTTTTGCAACAATGAGCATTCAACAATGAAAATCCGCTAAAAGCCAACGGTACAGAATTTTGATAGACCACGTTTATTGTTTGCTCTGTGTTGCATAGGAGTTCTGTACAGATCGCATTCTGCATTTGAGGCCCATTTTAACGCAGTATACATTGATTTATATTGTTGACTAACAACTTGAGAGGTGGCAGCGTGGCAATATGAAACAGCAATATAACTTGTATTTTTAAAAATATATATTGCAGTACTGTATTGAGAGCAACATTTGTCACTATAACACTGCTTTTGTTTGTGGTGATTGACTCATTTTGCCAGGACACCTTTTTGTGGATGAATAATTGATGTGATTTTGGCTGAGGACAAAAGACAATGATCAAGGCTAAATCTACTCCAGACAAAAGGTAAGCTGTACGAATTTTTTACAATTATATGGGTTTAATTTTATTCAAATAAAACATTCTTAATTATAGTGATTACCTTTAATGCTGAAACATTGCCTTTTGGAAGTAATGTTTATGATTAAAAATATAAAATGCAATTAAGTGGTCGTTCATAATTGAATATAATGCATTTTACCTGCCATGTTATGCATACATAACCCTTGCTCGTGATTTTCTTTAGTGGAAATAATTAAGCAGCATAAACGCAGCATTAATTTATGGAGCACTTTAAAATGTATGTGGCACACCTGTGATCTGCTATAAATGCTCTTGATACTTATAGAAAATACACAGATGTGAGACATGTTATCGCTGCTATACTATCTCATCTGTGGAAGGCTGTCAAGGACCACACACTGCAGAGCAGAGTGCTCGCAATAATCATTGGCCCTTTGCTTCATTTCAACCGCGCTTGCAGTATTTCCAAACATTTTCCATTTACGAAAGTGAAATATAGATTTAGATATATTTGATTTATTTTATAGATTTTATTTATTTCTAATGTCATACTATCCACTTCAGTGTATCGTGCTATATATTATCAATTTAATACATATTCCAAGCGAAATGTTAACATTGTATTGAGACAAAAATAGCAAATGTATAAGAAGGCATGTGGTTATTGACCATTAATAAATGCCACATCACCCCAACGGCTCATCGCGAAATAAACATACGGTGCAGTTTCTCCCGCTTGCCTCCTTAATGCAAAGAATGCACTCGTTTTTGTTGGTGTCCTTGGTGGCCAGTGTCTCCCGGCTTAACAGCCTGCTGGCTCAACTGGACGAGGGCCTGACCTCAAGTGGTCGCGGTGATATGGAGCAGGCACGCAGCGTCAGCTGCAAGCTTCTGCAACTGGTGCAGACACAAGGTGCAGATGGTTCATCCACCTCTGGCTATCAGATTAGTGTACTTTCATTTGCTGATAGCTTGTATCACACAGCTCCCGTAAGGCAAAAAATCACCATCTCGTGAAATATTTCTTTTCCTCTGTAAAACCGAGCTGCGCTGGGGTCAAGCCGAGACAACATTGAAATGTTTTTAGCATGAGTTATGGGAGCATTTCTTTACAGTCTGATTTTCGTAAGTCGGGTCTTCTGCAACCCGGCAATTTACTCTACAGCAAAACCTTGGATTGCGAGTAACTTGGTCTGCGAGCGTTTTGCAAGACGAGCAAATTTTTAAAATAAATATTAATTTGATAAACGAGCGAGGTCTTGCAATACGAGTAGTACGTGTATACGCTTTGTCTGCCGAGCGTCACGTGATCACAACTGATATACGAGTGCTTTGATATACGAGTGCTTTGGATTACAAACTCGTTTCCGGAACTAATTATGCTCGCAATCCAAGGTTTTAATGTACTCATTTTAGAGGGAGTTGACTGATGAGACGTTATCATCAAGTACATATCCCAATTGGTAGTTGCTAATAGTAAGCATGATCAGTAATGTAATCCAGATCACAGGGATCATAGTGCATTGTAATCATCACTATGTCATATGCATGAATGTTAATCCATTGATGGATGAAGGCATCCCCATGCCATACAGGTCGTGGGGATTATTTTATCATGTTCCATCATACTCGTGGGGGAAGGTGGGAAACATAAAAGTACAATACAACAATTTATTTTGCTGCACTGCCCTTTGCTGGTCACCATCTAGTCCTGCAGCGTATAATACCTGTTATGCATTGTGGTCACTCAAACCATCACCGTCTAGGCCGAGCCCATGCTTAGCTTCTGAATTTTGATTAGATTGAGTGCATTCCGGGTGATTTGATCATATGATTGTCCATATGTACTCTGCAATGTAATGGACTTGTAATGGACATGTCATGCCTATTACATGGTCAAAATACATGACTCTTTAATGAATTAATAAGTAGTTTATTTATTGAAAAATATTTTTGTAATGGATTTTTTTTTCACGAAAGCAAAAGTCAACCATCATGCAAACAATGACATTGAAACCATATTATCCTGAAACAAGTTTATATGTTCCTTTTGGTGCTAATTATAAAACATACATAACAGCATTCTCTTGTCAATGCGATATACTGTGATGAATTGGGGTCGTGTGATCAGGGCACCGTTATATATAGCAGTGAAGACTGAGCATCAATTCCTTGGGGCCATGCACTCGGCATACCTGTGAGTGATTAGTGCATAGTTGCATGCTTATCTACTAGTAATAGACTGCTTAAAGCAAATGTACAGACACAGTAAAAAAAATGCTGAGAAGCTGTACAATTAATACATCAGTTTAACATGTAGGCTTTCGTGACCAATATCATCCATAATAGAGGTTTTTGGGTTAGATCGTGATCTAACCCAAAAAAACCTGTATTATAAATGAATATATTGTTACGTACTTTTTATTCAACGAATTGTGACCGGTGGGAAATTTTTAGGGATTTTATGAGGAATGAACAATGAAATGCAATGTACCGGCTCTCACTACAAGCAATTTTATTTTAAAAAAATTGTTTGATCAGCCAATGGACAGTGACTGCACTTGTGTGTATGTATGTTGAACTTCTTTCGCACCCTACGTAGCCAACTATGCTAATTGGAGTTGCGGGCAATTTTTAACTCAATACTGTATATAACCATTCTGGGAGGGAGCGATGGTGCAGTGGAAAGGGCACTGCGCTCTCAACACAGCGACCTGAGTTCGATTTTTGGCCATGGAATTGATTCTGGGACCCCCACTAATTCACCGACTGTACTGATGACAGGGAAGTATGGTCAAACAACCCCCCCATGACGGACAAGTGTAGGGAGGCCTTCTTCCAGCAGTGAAATTGCAAAGGACTACATTATTACAGTGTTATTGAATTGTAAGCATTCTTATCAGCAGTAGGAATTGAGGAATAAGTGGAAGGTTAAATGTGTTTTTTTACGCTTTCACCATACTATTGCTCACTTGCATCATGCTGATGTAAGCCCTGTGGATTCTTACTCTTTGGGTCTTTCGGTAAAGTCACGTAGATAGAATAATTATTCCTACCATTTAGATCTGCTTTGTGTTCACGAACACGGTCTGCGACATGTCGCTTAATTTCCCCAATGTAACTATTGCTGCAGACACAACTTAGTTTGTAGACACCAGGGTATTGCATGTCAGGGATCACATCCTTCATATATGGGTTCAGATCACGAATTTTACATACTGTGTTGAATAGAACCTGTATCTTGTATGGTGTAGAGTTTTGATGGGGGAATTATTCTGGGCTGGATGGTGGTGGGAGTCAGATTTTAGATAGGCATCCGTGTGGGTGGCTTTCCTGTAGACTGTCCCAATGAGCCATCTGGTCTCTTTTCGATTAAAACATCTAAGAATGGTAACTTGCCATCCTTTGCCACCTCCATGGTGAATTTTATGGCTGGGTGTATGGAATTGATGTGGTTGAAGAATTGGTTCAATGCTGGCAGGCCATGTGGCCATATGACGAACGTGTCATCTACGTATCTCTTCCACAAGGAAGGACATAGGATGGATGCCTGGATGGCATCTGTCTAAAAATTTTCCATGAAAACATTGGCTACCACTGGAGCTAAGGGAGAACCCATTGGGGTACCTTCAACTTGTTTATAGAATGTACCATTCCAGGTGAAGTAAGTGTTGGTGGGGCAGTGTCTCACCAGGGCCAGTACATCAGCATTCAGTCCTTGTTGGACCAATCCTTCAATGATTGCAATAGTGTCAGGTACAGGAACTTTGGTAGACAAGGAAACAACATCAAAACTGACAAACAAGTCACCTGGAGATGATGAGATGTCTTGTGGATTCTGTCAGCATGGACTTGACAAAGTGCCCATCGTAGCCACTCGATGACCTGTTTAGTCAAAACCAAGAACCTTTCATACTCCACATTGAAACTAATGGCGATGGTTCAAATTACAATGCACAAGTGAAATCAAGTGGAACTGTGAATACCATTGTCTGATTTTCCACTCACTTAAAAAATGTGCCACACTTTGTTGTTATGGCGATCCCTAAAATTTTCACCGATACAAACTTAAGTACTGGTCAAATCAGGTGCAATTGTATTGGAATTGAACAGTTTCAGGCAGGAAACACTGACAGTTTTGACCTTGCATTTTAACCAAGAGATGTAAACCTTTGATATTGAACATTGTAACATGGAATCGGTGTGTTAAGGACAAAAACATTTGGCTGGTGCGTTTACAATTTCTCATTTCAGATTCTTCACTGCCACATGGATGAGTGGAACATATTTTAAATGTTTCCAGAATGGCTAGTGAAATGAATCTGTGTAAGATTATAGGTCAAAGGATGTGCTTACGTATAATTTATGTTGCGAACATTTTTACATTTCATCGTTTCGGTATAGCCATTTAACATGTACCAACAGTACCATCATTTAATATGATATTTTTTTGTTAACCAGAACTACATTGAAGACAAGTTTTGCATGTTAGTTACTACAATATTAATGTTGTGGTTCTGTTGAATTCAACTGTTCCTTTCCATCCCTATAAAATTATATGCCATGTTTTACGATTACAATTTACAGTCCTCATAAATTTAACATTACAGCATAGCATTCTATACTTAGTTATATCTAATTAGAGGATCGTAGTACGGGTGCTGAAGTACTTTTACTTTTTAAACTAGTTGTGGCATTGTACATTCACAAACGTGTTAATTAGTTTCCTGCTGTGCGGTTAAAATGTTTCTGTAGGGAAAGTTGTGAAATATTCTTTTTGTGGTTATATTTGTGCGGTATTCTATATTTAGCTTTGTATTGATATAAGGCGCACATGGTTGAATTATGACTGCTTGCCCTTGCTTGAATGATGGTAATGAACAGCATGTCCTATGGGCAGGGTGAACCTTCCCCATCAGCCCTGTTCACTCCCCTGTTGGCCCCCACCCGGTTGGCCTCACCCTTCCCCCATTGGTCACACTCACCTGATACTCACCATTATCAGATACTCACCTGACACCACTCACCTGTTACAGGACAGTAACCATTCACTTGATACCTGACAGCCACCGGCTACTCCGTGCTCACCTTTATCACTCAGGAGACACTCACTAAACGCTCACCACTCACAGTGCGGGTTTATGAAGGCTCAAAGCTGCTGAACCATGAGTTATGCGTACGTGTCATTCTCTGTCTTGTAAAAGTGCAACACAGGCGGGGAACAAATATAAAGTAAACGTTTGTTTTATGGTATCACCAGTATATGTAAACATTTGAGAGATATTGCCCTTTATCCACTTCTGTTTGTGGTTTGTTGCGTGAGTAGTTGTCTAGCTATGGGTGGTGAGCCTATGTGTGTGTGCACTGGGTTATTGGTCTCATGTATAATGGAAGCACGCAAATAGTTATGGGTCCAAAGTTATAACAAGTTTGAGCTCTCATACTTAGCACAGGGTTCAGTAACCTGCAGCTCTGAGCCACATGCGGCTGTTTCAGGACTTCTTCATGATGTTATTCACATGTCACCGTGCCTCTTGAAAGATTGAGCTTGTTTTTACCGAATTCAAATAGGCTCTTGTTATTTTGGTTCCCGACCGCCTTAACGAACACAACAATGTCTGACCCAAACCAGGGGAACGATTCCTAAGCATGCCTGAGTGACGTCGGAGTGTCGAGTTGCAGTGCCTCTGGTTAACTTAGAAATTGCAAGGCCAGTCCTTCGTATTTATACATTATATACATAAGGGTTGCACTGCTCGTGTGTAATTTTTAAAATAGCCCATTTGAACGTCATCACATTCATCTTGTTGAATGAAATGTGTCCAGTTACACTTTTTAACAGAAATGTTAAGCAGCTTATTGCAGTACAGTGAGCGGATAAGAGATGTCTAAAAAAACTGATGGCAAAAACTT